TTTTTAAAATCAAAGACACCTCCCCCTCTCTTTTTTTTTCTCCTCTCATGAATTTGAAGTCCTCCCAGATGGAAAACCAAGTATTTTCCAGATTATACTTTGATGTTGCTCGTCTCTACATGGCTGGAACCCTCACTCCACCCCAACAACACTAAAATCCCCTTGTGGGAAGACAGGTTTCTGGCCAGCCCAGCCTCAAAGGGCTTGGCCCATTTGGAAGTGAAAAAACTCTCCTCCCACAGAGTTCCCCAATCAGACATCATCTTTGTTTAACATCCTCTGAAAGCAGACAAGCGATCAGTTTCATATCATGCCACTGTTGTGTCCCTACCCCCATTACTTCTGTCAATGAACCGAGACCCCACTCCGCAGCCACGTAGCAGGATGCAAGGTGTCTGGGATCTGCCTCAGCCCAGCTGGGGGAGAAACCTCTCCAGCTAGCAAAAAAGCTCCAAGGTCTTCTAGAAGAATGACCTACCAGCACTGGAGTCTGCTGCCTAGAGATTGAACAGGGGCACTCCACCACCAAGCTACATCTCCAGCCCTTTATATTTATTTACTTACATTTACTTATTTATTTGATATGAGACAGGCTCTTGCCAAGTTGCCAAGACTGGCCTTGAACTTGTGACTCTCCTTCCTCAACCTCCATAGTCACTGGAATTACAGGTTTTTGCCACCCGCCACCACTCCCCAGTCCCAGTCCTTGGGAATTTCTTAATGAGGTCCCTGGAGACCAGAGAACAGGGAAAGTCTTGTGTGAAGGGGTGTGGAGGAAGGTGCCGGAGGTTGGGAAAGAGATGGAAAGGGAAAACTGCCTCACTATTCACATTCTGTATCCTTTTACACTAGAACACTGTTTTATTTTCGAAACACTCTGTTCCCTGCTGAGTACTGCTTTATTTCTGAGTACCCCCTTTATTTCTCTTTAAATTTTTTTTACATAAGTGACTTGACCTCCAATCGATGATGAGAGTAAATTTTTTTATTTGACACAGAAGTTACAGAAAATGGAATGTTTACAGATACAAGCCCTGAAGTTTGGAATTGGGAAAAATAGGAAAAGTTTGCTGGGGACTTGCAGATCTGATTTTTCTGGTCCTCTATTGAGGAAAAAAACAGAGAGACACACTCAGACACATACGCTCTACCTAGTTGCTCAATTTAGAAAAGAAAATGTCGATGCATACATGACCAATCTGCACCTTTATTTTTGTTTCTGCCTTCTTTAAGCACTTTTCTGCCTATAAAACCAAACTTCTTTCCTTGGACCATTAGAATGCTTATTTTACTTTATGGAATGAAGTGCTACTGGAGTCCAGAACTGAAATTAAAGCCAGTCAATATAGTTAAACTAAGTTGTGGTATTATCCATTGAAAATGCACACACACAAAACACTGAAATTGCATTTTGCAACAGGAAACCCAATGACTGGATATAGTGAAAATAAGAATCTTTCTCAACCACAAGCCTGAGTCTGTGTTGTCCTGAAACCCTACAGGCATATGCACATTGTCCATAGGAACCAGATTCTCCCTCTGGCTTCTAGCCCTCAGCCCTATGCACTGCTCAGGTAGGGAGAGGACATTCTGCCATTACTGATTTCTTTTTTTTTTTTTAATTTTTTTTTTAAAAGAGAGAGTGAGAGAGGAGAGAGAGAGAGAGAGAATTTTTAATATTTATTTTCTAGTTCTTGGCAGACACAACATCTTTGTTGGTATGTGGTGCGGAGGATCGAACCCGGGCCACACGCATCCCAGGCAAGCGCGCTACCACTTGAGCCACATCCCCAGCCACCATTACTGATTTCTAGCCACAGCTTACATATGATTCCTACACACTCACCTGTATTCCCCACTTGGGAAATCATAGGTGTGTACTGCACAACTTTTAAAATGTTAAACTGTGTCCCCCACCCACCCCACCCCTCACCAAAAATGATTCTTGTTAGTAAGCTCCTTGCAGATAGAAAAGTGGAACTGTTAACAGGCACACCTAGTAGGCCCGCAGCAAGGCCTTCACAGGTGCTCCAGAATGGCAGGAATTTTAGGGAGAGGAAAGCAGATCAAGTCTGCTATTCCTTTCTGGTTTAGAGGGGGGTGGGGAAAAGAGAACTGAAGAGGAGGAGGAGGTCTTTGTCCCAGCTCTTTGGAAGGGCATTAGAGTGTAGTCAGATTGTCAGCTAATGAGATTTCCTAACCACTCGCTCCCTTTTAAGTTTAGGCCCCCAACTGATTTGATCCCCAGATTGGGAGGGGGGGGGCAGGAGGCCTTCAACATCCCCAAGGGCCAGAGAATTCCCAGCACAAGGGCGGGAAGGATAGGAATCATTTCTGGGAGTGGAATTTAAATAGATTACCACATTTATCAATTGATACACAGCAATATGCTACAGGCCCATTCCACCTCAACAGCATAGGGGGCACTTCCAGCCATCAGCCTCTGCCTGGGTGCCTGAGTTGGGCCCAGTGGACTGCAGGGATGGGGACCAGTTCCTGGAGACTTCTGCAATCACTGGACAGACTGCAAGTTCCTTGCCTGGAGTTTTCGTCTGTTTGCTTGTTTGCTTGCTTGTTTGGGCTGGCAAAGATCTCTGAGGTCCACGTTTAATGGATGTGGTGTTGGACCTGGCTCAATAATTTACCCCATCAGGCAAAAGGGTGTTAAAACAGGAAACGTTTCTTCAATAATATCTTGGTCTGTCAACAAGCCTGAGATTGTCTCTCTTAACTATTTGTCAGATTGTGTGTGGTGTTTTGAGGTCCTCCACCCAATATGAAACTGTCTTCTCTTTTTCCTAAAGAAAATGAGCAACGCAAAAGTAGAAGAGAGGAAATCCACGTCAAAACACATTAACAACATTTTGGAAGACACTCAATGAAATCAATTCTCCCTATCTACCTTCCCAGCTTAGTCAACAGCCTCCTCCTTAAGTTTATTTCCCCTCCATTCAAAGATAATTACTTAGCAACTTCCCTGTTTACCACTCAAAGGCACTCTTCCTTCTGAGCTCTTTGAGGTACAAAAGAGCCTATTCTGGAACCCAGTGATTTAGCAAACTTTTCTGCTACAAAACAGCTTAAATTTCACCTCTCTTTGTTCAAACCTCCCTCCATACTGGACCTTATCACTCTGCAGCAGCCAGTGGTTCCCCAGCCACCTATTCCCACCTGGAGAATTCTTCCTCCTCCAAGCCCTGGTCTTGGGCCTCACACCATCTTGAGGAAGCAGGAAGAAGAAACAAGTAAAACCCAGTGGAAATCCAAACACTTAAAAAAGGAGCTGCAAGTGATTAGATAAGTAAAATCAGTCAAAGGCCAAGTAAAACAAGTCCTGCTTGAGACCGAAAACAGTGTTTGATGCCTTTTAAAATAAAATAAAATAGGATCTAGAAGACTGGAGAACACAGAAAAGGGAAGACACGAAGCCATTCTCTATAACAGATTTTCTCTAACAGAGAAGCAACTCCTGCACTTCCTGTGAGGCAGTTCTGTGCCATGCAGTTCATTTATATCCCCTAAGGATACTCATTATCCCCACTTTACAGAGGAACAAACTGAGACTTCAGGAGATTAAGTAGCTTGGCTAGGATCACCTAGCCTGTGACATGGAGCAGGTACTGGCACCCTACTTTGTTTGACCTCAAGCCCAGGTTCTCATCCTCTGCTCTAGCTCCAAGGGTGCGCCAAGTCAGCAAGCACGGGTAACCCGATCCCATCCACTCTGACTCCAGGCTGCCTCACAGCTGCTGCACGGAGCCGCGTGGGTACCACTGTAGTAGGCACGGATCGGATCGCACACTGTTCCCAAGGGCTCCTTCAAAATCTGCGCGTCCTTCAAAATCTGCCGACACGGAGAAAAAAGCAGGCTCGAAGACAACCTGAACCCAGAGGAGGAAGACCAGAGGATGGGACAGGAAAGGAATGAGCATGGCCAGGTCAGCGACCCGACGGCGGTCATCCTGAGGTCCCAGGACACCAGAGCCTATGGGTGTAGGGGACTTGAGTGCACGGGGCGAGGCGGTGGCTGGGCGCGAAGTCGGTGTCTTTTCCCTGAAGCAAGAGCTGGGGGGAGAATGGGGGAGGGGGCGTCACCTGACAGCGCGCACCAACTTCTCCTCACTTGGAGGGGGCTCGCAGCGGCAGCCAGGGCAGGGGGAGAGCAGCGCACAGCTCTCGCCCAATGGCGAGGTCTGTAAACAAAAGCGGGGCCCACGCGGGTCCCCAGCCGGGGGGCGAGCCGCGCGGTTCAGCGGCATCGGAGCGGCGGAGGGCGAGGCGGGGAAGGGATACGACGCGGGGACCCAACGCAGAGTCTTCGGGACCCCCGCGGCCCCGACAAGTCATTGTCTGCACACCCGCAGGATTCCACTTTAAATGCCCCCTCCCTGGCCCACCGCGGGTCCCCCACTCTGTGTGCCGGACCCTGGCTCTCTGTCCAGTATGCCTGGCCCCGATCGTGGCACGGATGGCCAGAATGTGCTCCCTACCAGCGATGCCAAAAAGCCAGGCCCTTAAGTGTCCAAGTCAGGGACCGCGACACACACACACATAGACACGGGCACACACGCGTATGCCCTCCCCGAAGTTGATAGAAAAAATCAGCCGATAAATACACAGTGATGCCGTCGCCGCAGATCAGCGCTGACCTCCTGCTGCCAGGAAGACCGAATGCCAACGCCTGGACACTGTCACATCCATTCGGCGCCGGGCGCCTGGTCTCCGCTGTCTCCCGTCCCTCCGGGACCCTCCTTCGCGCTACAGATATCTTCCCTTACCTTCCCTCCCCAGATCACCCCACCTCCCAAGCGTATGCATACGACAACAATACGAGTAAAGCCCGATCGGGGGGAGCTAGGACCCGCCGGGAGCCCCAGTGTGCGGGAGACTGGGGTCAGGACGTGCCCGTCACGGGCACAGCGGCTCAGGGCATCCTCATCGCCACCCCTCGGGGTGGCTCTGGCCAGTCGGCCCGCAGCCCCCAGGCGCGCAGTACTCACCTGCGACGCTCCTCCCGGATCTGCGCGACCCTACCAGGCACAATGCGGGACCGCTGGGCCCCTGGGGCTGCGGGCGCCGAAGCGTTCGCCGAGCTGCAGAGCTGCGCGCCCGACGGCGGCGGCGCTGCTCTGCCCCGCCGCGCTCGGGCCCGCTCGAGGTCTGCCAATGGGAGCTGTCAGGGCGCCTCTGCCGGCGGCTTCGGGGGCGGGGCCGCGGGAGCCCGTGGGAAACCGAGTTCCGATTGGGCCTCCTGACAATCGCTCCGCCTCCGTCCAGCCAATCAGAAACGGCGGATACGGGAGCGGGGCGTTCGGAGTTGGACTGAGAGTGACAACAGGCGCACGCGGGGTACCTGAGCTGCGTCCCGGCCCCGGCCAGTGGTTAGACGGATGCTGGCCTTCCGCGCTCCGGGATACCTTCCAACCAGGCTCTGGCGGCGCAATCTGGAGAGACCGCGGAAAGACTGAGGGGGCGCGGCGACCCGGGAACAGCGAGGGATCCCCTAACAAAGCAGCTTTGGGAGGGCCAAGCGGCCTCCGCCTCCTTCTGCAATAGGTCCTTGAAGCTGCCTGTCACCCTGTATAGGTGGAGGTGGCCAATGATGTGCACTGAAGGAGCTCTAGTTGGCGCGCGCGCGCGGCTCGGCGTCGGTGGGATTGGTCGAAGGTAAAGGATTTTCCTGCCACCTAAGGCGGAGAGGAAGGGGGAACTGAACGGGGGAGGCGAAGAGCCAAAAAACGTTGTACCTGCGACACGTGGTCTGCTTAGGGAGGCTTGTGGCTGGCAGCAGGGGGAGACAGGAACTTTTTTTAGGAGAGAGAAAAATCTTAATGCAATCCCTTCCCGAGGATGCCAGAAGATGTTAGCCACTCAACAGGCTCCAGATAGTGCACGGTGGCCTTTCCCGAATCCTGGATATTCCTGGGCTACCTGGTTTGGCTCACCTTGCCCAGCAAGTGAACTTGGGGCTTGGGCCTCACGTTCACCTACTGGACAGAGTACCTGGCTCTGATCTCTGTAAAATCGCGAGGTTGTGAGGAACATAGAAAAGGAGATATGACCCTAGAGCCCCTAGCGAAACCTGTCCTACATCAGACTAAAGCTTCCCCCTTTCCTCGGGAACCTTGGTCACCATCAACAATAAAGGCTGGAGTAAATGTGCATTATCCCCTGTTCCATACTCAGGTTCACACCAGGGGATGGGAAAACCTGTCCTCCTCATCATCATCTTATTAAAAACAAAATGAATACCCTGGACATTGGAGGCTAAACCTAAACGAAAAATTGAAAATCATCTTAGACATTCTCTCTCCCATCTGTTCTTATTAACTTCCCCAATCCAACCCTTCCTCCCACCTGGACTTCATGAAAGGTCTCTGATGGTCTTTCTACCTTAGGCCTTGCCTCCTGAAGTATGCTGTCCACTTTGCAGAATGATTTTCCTCTTGTGCTCTCTTTTCTGTCTTTTTCCTTTGCCCAGAAAACACCCATCCGCAGGCCCTCCCTTCCCTTGACTAATTCCTTCTGCTTCTTTAAATCCCAGTGTGGCTGACAGTGTATCAAAGCTGTAAAGGTTTTCAGAACTCCTACTGTGCAGAAAATGCTCTTATAGACTGTGGGCAGCCTCCTGTAGCCAGTGAAATTTAATCACCCAGGGCCCTCTGTGTCTCCCTCATGGCCTGGGTTATAGGGTGCTGTAATTGTCCGTTCATTGTGTTCTCTCTGCCAGCACAGTACTTCCTGAAAGCCAGAACCTTATCTTCACTGCTGTATCCCAGTGCCTAGCACAGTGCTTGGCACAGTTTGGATGCTCAGAAATTTAATCAATAAAATATTTTATCAATGAATTGTATAAGTGCTGTAATTACAGGAAAGAGTTTTAAAGATTTTAAGAGTTTCCAAAACTTCAGTTTAAGAAGAATGTTTAGAATAATGGATTTCTGTAATCCCAGAGACTTGGGAGGCTGAGACAAGAGGATCAGGAGTTCATAACCCAGCTTCAGCAATTTATCGAGGCCCTAAGCAACTCAGCGAGAGCTTGTCTCTAATAAAATATTAAAAAGGGCTTGGGGATATGTCTTGGTGGTTAAGCGCCTCTGGGTTCAATCCCTGGTACCCAAAAAAAAAAAAAATAGATTTCAAAGTTTTATGTCCAGCAGGTTCCATGACAGGTGTTACAGGAAGGTTTCTAAGTCAAGTAGGAAGAGATTTTCTAGAAGACACCCTTCCAAAACCAGCCTTGTCTCAGTAACACCTTGCCCAAACTGCCCAATGAGGAATCATTCTTTCATAGGCTTTGTGTCCCAGGAGAAAAGCAATTTCTTGACCTGTTACAAGCCACCATCTTGGGAAAGGGTGTGTGTGTGTGTGTGTGTGTGTGTGTGTGTGTGTGTGTGTGCGCACGCGGCCCGAGCATATTAACAAATATGTACATTTGCAAATGAGTAGAGTTTTTTTTTTCCCAAAGGGTATTCCCAAGTACTTTTGACCATGATTAAAAACAATGACTCTGGACCAAGCTGCCAGAGTTTCAAACTGTAACCAAGGACTTTACTTCAGACCTCCATAGTGTCCCCATCTATTTAATTGAGGTGCTTGTATAGCCCACCACATGGGGCTGGCATTAGGATGAATGAGTTACATAGCATAACAACTATTTAAATAGCATTTATGTTGGGGCTGGGGTTGTGGCTTAGCGGTAGAGTGCTCACCTAGCTAGTACGAGGTGCTGAGTTTGATCCTCAGTACCACATAAGAATAAATAAATAAAATAAAGGTGTTGTGTCCAACTACAACTAAAAAATTTTTTAAATAGCATTTGTGTTATAGTGAATATTAAAGAATCTAGAGGTGATTTAAAATATATGAAAGATGTACATGAATCATATGCTAATTACAGCATTGAATAAAAGGGACACAAGCTTCCAAAGACTTGAACATCCAGGAATCCTGGAACCAATCCCCAACCAACACCTAGAAACACCTACAATTGGATTCCTCTTCCCTGCCCTTTTGGAGGGCTGCTTTCCTAGGATGATTGTGTTCAGGAAGTAACACTGTATCTGGGTAGACTTCATATGACTCCTCAGAGCTGCCTCTGATTGCCTTGATTGCTTTGCTCCTAAGAAATTGAAAAGTGGTTGATTTACAGAATCCTAGTGTTAGGCTGGCTGGATGAAGAATTAAAAGTTAAATGATTTTCCCCTATCTCTATCAGAAATAATCATAGTAGATATTACACAGAGATTATGACTCCACGCATCCATGTATAAATAGATGGATTTACAAAATCCTAGTGTTAGGCTGAATTCAAGCCCCACCATCTTCCAGCCAGGTAACTTTGAACAGGTTACTAATCTATCCTAAGCCTTGGAATCTCATTTTCTAAAATGGGTAGTGTAAGAGAATGGGTAAGAGAATGCCTAGTGCCTAGCCCACTGCCCCTAAAGGCAGATGGATACACAGGAAATCGACATCTGGGCTCTTGCCCTCCTGTCTCTCCCTGAACACCCCCCCCCTTACATCAATGCATCAGGACTTTGCCTCTCAGAATCTGCCCAGGGCTGAATGCAGGCAGCTTGTTCCCGTGATCCTGACCCTGCTACTGAGGTGGACAGAATTAAACTGATGCAGCCTCTGGGTACCTTTTTTTTTTTTTTTTTTTTTTTTTTGACCTCTGAAACCTGAAAAGCCAAAGGCTCTGCTGTTTCTTATCTCTGACCCCAACAGTATGTTGCTGCCTCACCCAGGCGAGAGAATGGGGCATTTTGATTAAAACACAGACAAATGCCATCTGGCAGAGTAGTCTGCCATCTTGTCTCCCAAGGGCACTGTTGACATCTAGATCTCTCTAGATGTCATAGACTTGGTGGAAAGGAAAAATTTAGTAGTTGAAGGTGGAATTAAGGATTTAGGTCAGGTGAACAAGCAGAAATTACATTTCCAGGGCATGACCCCCAACTTCAATTACGGGTCAACATTCTCTTCCCCACCACTTACTAGAAGGTCACTAAATGCAGTCACAGCTAAGTCACAACGAATGGTTTTCCCAGTATGATGACACCAAGAAGATGAGGCCACACTAGGCAGCCCTGCCTCACCTTTGTTCCTGAGCTCAGGGACCTTGCTGGCGGATGCTCCCTAAGGACTGACACTTTGATTCTCTTCTCTATGTAAGTGTCTGGGGCCATCCTGGCACATAGTAAGCACTCACTGAATACTTAAGGAATGAGTGAAGTTTCACATCCTGCACTCTACCTAAGAAATTTGACACTTAATCGTTATTATGATTTGGATCTGTAATGGCCCCTCAAAAGCCCATGTGTAGAGTAGCAGCAGTGTGCAGAGATAAGAATGTTGCATCATGAGGGCTCTGAACTCCCTGGTGGATTAATCCATTAGATGGATTAGTAATTTGAATGGACTACCCAGTAGCCATTGTAGGCAGTCAGGTGGGGCATGGCTGGAGGAAGTAGGTCACTGCTGCATGACTTTGGAGCCTCCATCTGTCCCTGGAGCCTCCCTGTTACACTCTTTCTGTGCTTCCTGGCTGCCAGGAGCTGAGCAGCTTGCCCTGCCCTGCCCTGCCCTTCCACCATGATGTTCTGCCTCACCTCGGACCCCATCAATGGAGTTGGCAGAGCATAGATAGGCTGAGACCTCTGAAACCCTGAGCCAAAGTAAACTTCTCCTCCTCTAAGTTGTTCTTATTAGGTATTTTGGTCACAGCAACAAAAAACTGACTAATACAATCATCTATGTCAATTGTGGATGACCTTTTTGGAGGAAGGACAGGAAGCAACTTATGGAAAAAATCTCTCCCTCTAGCAGGGATTCTCACATGGTAGAGAAGGCAGCACCAGAAGAGTTTCGTCTCTGCGGTGATTTGAATATGGTTTGCATCTCCTGCCTTCCTGCCATGTTGGTACAGCCCAAGGCCCCTGCCAGACATGGCTGCCCAATCTTAGATTTACAGGCTCTAGAACCATGAGCTAAATAAACCTCTGCTCTTAATAAATCACTTAGCCTGAGAAAATGAACTGAGATACTCTCCAGCCAAGTGTGAGCCCTGGGCCATGCCTTCCTCTCCTGGAGTTCATACTCCATGTTTTCAGTAGACATTTGCTGCAAAGC